TTGCCTATTCCTCCAGAAAATCCTATATTTCTTGCTTTGATGAAAGATAAGTAAAACTGACTCTACAATCCTTTCTATGAGTGCTAAATGGATACAAGTTATATAAAACTCAGAGTAACCAAACAATCGATTATGTGTATCTGCCCTAAGCCCACAACCAAACAAGGAACAGGGAATGAGGCGGATGACACACATCCCATTGGTTGTTAGATCCTTATTGTATGTACCCCTGATGTATTCCCTTGGTACTCACGAAGTTAACTGTAATAGTTCCTTTTTATTTGATGAAAAGATTCTTTAAGAAAACCCTTATTTCTTATAATAAAATAGTAACCACGATGATTCCTTCTATAATCACTTAGTTTATACTAACTATATGTAATCTAATATCGAACAGATAGTTAATTGTGTGAATCTGCCCTAAGCCCACAACCAAACAAGGAAGAGGAAGTAAGGCGGAAAACACACATCCAACTACCTATCGGGTATTAATTATATACAACCCTGATGTATAAACTAAGGTATTATAGTATTAATCACCCAATGTCCTTTAAGTTATACTGGTTTAATAAAATGGATTAAACCCTTTACTGGTATGTTTCAAGTTTAGTCTACTTCGTGTTCTTTCTGAAAATTATGTTCTTGTACTAGAAAACAATGTAATTGAGTTAGTTTACTATGAATTGACTTATACCTGGTACTCCTTGTGATTACCTGGTGTATACGGAATACATATATAAGTAACTAAGTAAGGTCGGATGGATAGTAGACTGGGTGCATCTGCCCTAAACCACAACCAAACAAGGAACATGAAGTAAGACGGAAAGCACACGTCCTACTATCTCCTATACCTGATATATATATATATATATATATATATATATATATATATATATATATATATATATATATATATATATATATCCTTGATGTATACACTAAAGAATCATAAAGTTAGCATTATAGGTCCCTTTCCACTTAATGTTCATGTTACGAATAAGTTATGTAAATCTGTATAAATAATTTCGATTTAATATATTGATATCACCTCGTGCCTGCTAACCCTAGTATGTGTAATTGTACTAGTGTTAACGCAAACCCAGAAAGATATATTATTATATTTTATCACCTCGCGCCTGCTAACCCAAGTACGTGCAATTGTACTAGTGTTAACGCAAACCCGGAAAGATATATTATTATATTTTAACACCTCGTGCCTGCTAACCCAAGTATGTGTAATCGTACTAGTGTTAACGCAAACCCGGAAAGATATATTATTATATTTTATCACCTCATGCCTGCTAACCCAAGTACGTGTAATCGTACTAGTGTTAATGCAAACCCGAAAATATATATTATTATATTTTATCACCTCATGCCTGCTAACCCAAGTACGTGTAATCGTACTAGTGTTAACGCAACCCTGAAAATATATATTATTATTTTATCACCTCGTGCCTGCTAATCCAAGTACGTGTAATCGTACTAGTGTTAACGCAAACCCGGAAATATATATTAATACCCTAATTTGTTACAAACAATGAGTTAAGGATACAATGTCTTCCTAGAGTACTAAGATATTGTATAAGTGTGTAATACTTTATTCGTTTGTCTGTTATTATATAGTATATTCCTCTCTGTACTTGTTATAGTATGTTCCTCCCTATACTTGTTGTAGTATGTTCCTCTTTGTACTAGTTATTGTATGAACTGAACCCCTAAACTATACCCATTATAGTTTACTAGTATGTTTAATTGAACTGACACTAACTTGAAGAAAAGACTCATTTTATCTACTAAGTTATGATTGTACTTTAAAAACAAAGTTTTGTATACTATAAAGTAACATAACTTTAAAAGTGTTTTTGAAATGTTTTGATCACTCAATAATACATAAGTAATCCTTTAAAAGATGTTTATGACAAAACATTTACACAATTAACATTATGTTCAACTTGTATCCCCCCCTTAAAAGCATTTAAAACAGTTAAAAGATTCATTACGGGGTATGAACTCACCTGATGTGGGTGATCCAAACGAATATGCGCGTAATGATGAGAAGTTCTTCGAATGAAGTCTTGAGACTTAACGAGTTCTAAATGACATATAACGGCATATATTGACATAAATATAGTGTTTAGAAGAAACCAAATGCAAGGAAACACCTCACGGGATTAGGAAACACTTTGACCAAGTGTTGGAATCACATGTGATTCACTAAAAGGGAGTGTACGACAAATTTGAGGAGTGTGAGGCGATGGGTGTACGGCCAGGGAGTGTTCGGCCGCACACTCATGGTAATGAGTGCACAAAAGTGTTTTCTAATGGTAGGGAGGCTTGTGGGACGATCGTTCAACAAGTGGTGAAGCTAGAAAGGCACTTTGGAGGCCCTTAAGCACTAAACAAAGGGGTGTATGACCACATGGAGTGTGTGCGGACACACACTCCTTGATTAACATGGTTAGGACGTTTTCTAAGGCTCATATCTAGTAAGTAACAAGCTTAGGGAATGGTACTTACAATATGGAAGCCTTTAGGGGTGTTTTGATGGTGTTTTGAGGGGTGTACGGCCACACCTGTGTGTGCGGCCGCACACACCATATGATTATGAGTTCTGGGAATTTTCTAAGACTAAATCAAGTGTTCTAAGCAAGATTCAAGCAAAGGGAAAGAGTAATTACGATCTGGAGGCTCAAGAGGGCTTAAAATCACCAAGAACAAGTGTGTGTTCTTGGTGTTCGTGGTGAAATGGATGAAGATTTGAAGATCTAGCCAAAACATGATTTCAAATGGATGAAATCAAAGGATGTAACTAGTTTAAGAAGATTAATAACAAATCAAGGGAAGAACACTTACATTCTTGAAGATTTAGGCTGAAAATCGGATGCTAGTTGAGAGAGAAATTGAGTTCTAGACTTGGGAGGGTGAAAAGGGATGAAAATAGGTTGAGGTCTATACTTATACACGTGATTGTGTAGCCAGGAGAGGGGTATGCGGCCGCACACCCATGTGTGCGACCGTACACTCCTTATGTTGGAGTGTAAGGCTTGATTTTGGTGCTAGAAGTGTATGCGATCCATTCTTATGCTCGATGCTTGAATGTACGAAGCTCTGAGCCTTTAAACGGACTCTAAACAAGGCTAAACGATAACATAAATGAGTCTGACACTCATTTGAGTTGTCTGGTTGAGCTTTACAAGGCAAAAATTTAAAAGAAAATTTCGGGTTGTCACATAAGATTATCATTATCTTCTTTTTCTCTTGTACCAATCCATAACTTCATTTACCACCAACAGACCATCTAAAATTTGTCTGCCTTTAACGAAAGCAGACTATTCCGGATTGACAAGATAATCAATAACATTTGCCAACAGATTAGCTAAAAGTTTTGCAATAATTTTATATTGCACTCCAATTAGACCAATCGGCCTATATTCTACATGTGGGATTATTAATTTTTGGAAGAAGTGTAATGAAAGACGAAATGCACCCATTAGGAATCGAACCATTCTTAAAAAAATCATCAACAAAGTTGTAAATATCATCTTTCAACATCTCCCATAATTTTTTTTTATAAAACGAAACGAAAAACCATCCTGTCCCGAAGCCCGACCACTCCCACAAGACCAAATAGCACTACGATTTTCTTCAACAGTAAATCGAGAACTCAAACTCTTTGTGTGAACTGGAGCTAGCTTTTTCAAACGAGGACTTGGTTGAGAAAGCTTTGCACTTGAAATTTTTTTGAATTTTTCTTTATAAAACCGTAAGACATGATCTTTAACTTGATTTGGATTACACACCCACAACCCATCCACTATCAATTCGGAAATGGACAACTTTCTTCTTTTCCTTTTTAACCTAGAATGAAAGAATTTGGTATTTTCATCTCCTTCCACAACCCATTTAATTTTTATTTTTTTTAGAAGCATCTAATCCATCAATTTTTTCTAAATCAGCTAAAGCTTTAAGAGTATCAATCCTAGCCGAACCCAAGGTACAATCATGACTTCCACCATCAAGCACACAATCAATATCATCTAACTTTGCAAGCAAGTCTCTCTTAACTCCCAGATTTTGCAACACCACCAGCTTATGCCATATCTTTAACCTTTCTTTCACACTTTTTAATTTATTTTCGAAAAGAATGAAAGAATTTATATTTTCCTCATGCCTATAATTCACCCACGCATCCTTGACCGTGTCCTCAAAACCATCCAACATGAACCATAAGTGAAATAGTTTAAATGGAGTAGGACCATAACCAATCACATCATTTTTCAACACAACAAGACTATGATCCAACCATAAACTAGGAAGAACCAAACCAACCATATTATGCAATAAATCCACCACACGACTAGAAACAAGAAAGCGATCAAGATTGACCATTTTAAGAAATGATTGTCAACCCATGTAAAACGTCTCCCCCATATGCACATCCATAAGACCTATATAAACAATAAAGTTGTTAACATCATCCTCCGTCTGAGCAAAAAAATTCATTCGAATCCTTTCATAAACCGTCCGAACAACATTAAAATCTCCACATATAATCTATTCACCAACATTGTCTCATAAAAGAAGACATATAATCCTACATTTCTTTTTTACGATGTCTATCCTGTGATGCATAAACATTAATAAGGTAACATTTAACACAAGTTGCTAACACCTCTCCAACAATAAGACGATTATCAATAGACCAAACCTTGGTTTTTTTTATAACAATCAATAAACCAACTGATATTCCCTGTGCACCACTACTAACCACCTCGAACTGATAATTACCCCATATCGAACAAACTAAAAATAAATCAAACCTTACATTTTGGTCTCTTGAATACCCAACACACCAATACAATTATCCATACAAAGATTTTTTATCCACTTCCTTTTCCTGTGAAATTTAAGACCACACATATTTACCAACAAAATATTCATTCAAAACCATATTTCTCACCAATTATTTCAATCAGGTTGACAATATCATCTTTGTATCATGTAAAATCATATCTAAGTATTTTCCCATACTCCACATATCTTTCCATAACTTCAATCAAAGACCCAACAATAACATGTTTTTTCTTAAATTTTTTAACATTATTATTACTTGAAGAAACATGTGAGAATTGAGTTTTTCCAGAAGGTGCTGATCGAGATTGAACTGAAGAGTAAAAATGCATCCCATCAAAACTAGGTGGAAACACATCTGAATTAGATTTCCGGGAGCCTAGACTTGCCTCATCTCTATGCAAAACACCTCCACCGTCTTCTTTTATATTTATATGTACTTCATTTTTGTTACCATCCATGTTATAAGCAGCCTTGATATTGTTTCCAACATCATCATGACTCTCGTAGGCATCCTCCAATCCTCCAACTGCTTGATCAGTTTGTGGTAATGTCTCCTCTTCCACAAACCCTTCCTCAAACCCATCATATTTTCCAGTATCTTTATTCCCATTGTTTTCTAGAATAAACTGATCCAAATTCACCCCATCCTCATCAACCACACTGTAATCATCTTCTTCATATTCCGACTCTGTCTCATGTTGTTAAGACTTCCTATGCATATTATACTCAACTCTCTTAATGGTTGGACATTAAGATGCAATTTCATGAACTTGTACCATGTACTCCTTCCCTTCAATATAAACAATTGGACTGTCACATATAAAACCGGTAATGCTTGAACTTACACACACTTTACCGCTACTTAGTTGCTCCTCCAAGTCATCATCTGAAAAAAGTACAGTCCTATACAAACCAACAACCTTTTTGTAAGCTGCTAAAGACCAAACATATAATGGTAATCCTTGGATTTCAAGCCACACTCTCCTTTCTTTCACAAAAAATTCTTTGTCACTATTAGTCAAGGTACTAAAAAGCTCCCCATGGCACGTTATGGCTCCAAGGTTTGTACTTGTTGTTAAGTTTTGACAAAATACCGTCTTAAGTCACATATGTATATAAAAATGAATAATACTAGAATATATATATATATATATATATATATATATATATATATATATATACAAAACTGTCGTCTTAAGTCACGCTTTACAAACGATGTGACTCGTCACAACTCAATAAAGTTTGAGGCTTGACATTGCTGCCAAGTCAGGCTTTACGCTATTTAGAACATTGCCGTTAGTAATTCCCTAAAATACAATTTTATCATTTCGTGTTGTTTGAATTGCACACATGTTTGCACTGACATGAACTCAAACCAAACCCACATTCCTCCAACATACTTTATCTCCGCTTCTGTAAATCCATCTGCCTGACAAACTTGATACAACTGTGGGATTAATGTTGCCTCCTTAACTTTTCCAAGAACAATCTTGTTATTGTCATCAAGCAAATGAAAATCACCTGCCCCAAGAAAAACATTATTACTTTTATTCACAATCTCGTGTTTCTTTTTCCTTTTCACAACATTTGCATATGACGCACCATTCATAGGCGCATTTCCATGCATAGTATTTCTATCATTTGGTCCCATATTCTCTTGATCCCTCAAACCACGACTTTGAAAATTTGTTTTATGATCTCTATTAAACCTTGCAATACAGGAAAATAAGTGATAATTTCCCACCCAAATGGATGCAAGATTATTCTCCAATCTTTTTTCATCTTTTACATTCAAGAATCTGATAAATACAAACTCCCTTCCAATTTTCGATAGTTTCTTTGCAATATACACATCTGCTAACTTTCCATACTATTCAAACAATTTCCACAATCCTTTCTCAGTCATGTCTTTTGGAAAATTCGTAACATAGAAAGTAACCGATAGCTTCTCCAATTCACGTTGAGTAGTTTTACTTCCATTCTGTTTCGATTTTTTATATCAATCTTCCATTCATAACCCCTGCGAATCGTCATGAAAACTCAATTCAACATTTATCAACAGGATAACGAAGATAATCAATAAGAAGAAAAAAAAATCCAATTCGGGCGTTTGATCCCGCCGGAAAAGCCGTTGCCACCGAGAAAGTCTTGATCGCCATAATAGGGTTTTTTCAGAATTAGCAAAACGATATTACAATAACATTGTATTTTGTTTTGATATTCTTAGAGACATATTTTGAATAAGAGTAGCATTGTCAATGGAGAGATTCACCGAGTTGTAAGGTGAGACTCTATATCTACACTCTTTATTTCAATTGCTTCATCCTTGCTGAGTGAACGTCTAAAATCACATCGATAGTGAAACCATGTAAATTCTTTGTGTTTAATTTACTTTGTTTATTTTGTTGAAGTTCTTTGAACCAATGGTTATTGCGTTACTTTGTTGGCGGTATCACTTTGTAATTACACTTGGGACTTAGTTGATACTTGATACCCCACCCCAAGAAACAATGAATGGGATTTATGTTTAAGCATAACAAATGACAAATTTAGAGTTATAAATAATATAGTTGAAGAGGAAGACATCATATATTATATATTATACATAAAAATTACACAAGTCGTTCATATGATGAAACTTAAACAACAAATATTATTGTTGGTGTTAAAAATTTGGACCATTACTATAAATTAAATGTGATTTTAAATTTACCCATATAATCAATATTTATATCTCTATATAAATATTTTTTTATATATAATATGAGTGATGATGTTATATGATTGGATATAAATACTAAAATATATAACAACCATAAAAAAATGTTTTTAATATGACCCTAAACTAGCTATTCTCTATTTTAATTCCAAAAAGAATATCCTTGAGTATTTAGACATTATCCGCGATGCAATTTGTAATTTACTTCAAACAAAATACTACAGTGTAAATGTTATTTATTTATTCTTTAAGTTTTAGTGGGTCAATCTTTATCAATTTATAATTTTTTGAAAGAAATATTACTATTACTATATACTTGAAATGCGTGAGATTCAAACATAAATTAGTTTGATTTTAGAATCTTTCATCTTATACAAAACGACATTCGCAGTATATGACTAATAATCACATCCTTTATTTCAGATAACATTATTAATTACTTTCTATTACTATTTTTTATGTGTTTGTCATGAGATCGGTTGGTAGAAACGCCAAAATATGGCACTTACCCTTTTGTCTAGAAAACATTTAAGAATAAACTGTCATCTCATTGTTGCATATGTGCAAAAAATACAAAACATGATAGGTACGTTCTACTAATTTATACATAAAAAAACAGTCATCAAATTCAGTATAACTTGTTACAAATTCACGTAAAGGAGTCGAAACCAAGGTATATTTTATGGTCAACCGAATTCATGAAACATTTTCTTTTAGACGCATCTCGTTGCCTTTTGGATCCTCATCATTGTTTGATGCTCTCTTTTTATTTCGGTCCTTTTTTGCTCGAGGGTCTTGTGCTGGTGACTCTGACCCCATACTCGAGTTTTTGGTCCGCCTAGCACGACTACTTTCATTATCACTAGCCGAGCTCTTGTTCTTCCTAGGCTTAGCTTCCCTATCCGGGGTACTTATTGAATTGCTAGAACCTTGCTTCTTTTTCTTTGACTTGCCACGACGATCTGATGACTCTGCACCTAACGCGAAATGACAAATGACCTTGAATTAGAAAAAAAAACTTAGATAGTGTACCTTAAGTAAAATAAGGTATATGCAACCTCATGCATAGGAGATAAATCACATGAGTCACATCCTTAATACTATGACACTTACGTACAAAAGAAGTATACACCAACTCGGGACATCCCTAAATAGTGTCCCAAAGGCAACATGGGGGAAGGTAGTTCAAAATGTCTCCAAAGCGTTGAAGGTGATGAATAGACATGATTCTAATGCCATACTTATGACTTCTCACTTTATTACCACTAGTCAACAAAACAAAAACGAAACCGATGTGAAAAGTGTAACCTTTGTCCCACCTTTTAAATCGGATGATCCTGCATCTGAAGAACCTTGAAACTCGTTCATCTGTTATAACAAAAAATAATCAAGAAAGATATCTTCCAAAAAACAATGATCACCAAAACGACGTTTTGCCTCAACATTCACAATCACATCAGACACACCAATACACTATAATGAAATTGGGGATTACCCAACTAGGTGCATTCGAAGAAGGACCATCACAACCAATATGGGCAACATGCTTAACATCCGTGGGTGCACCGATCTGTATTTCTGGTTCTTTTTCGTTATCTGCTTCTGTAATTTGAACCGATTCAATGAATGTCATAATGATTAAACATCTTGTTGCAATCAAACCAAGAAAAACATACCGAAAATTTCAGAAATGTAACGCAGGCCTTTTAATAGACCTTTCATTGCGAGCTCATGCTATTCTATCGGCAAAGCGTTAAACAAAACAAGAATCACGCCTGAAGCTTCTGTTGGTGTTTCTCTATCGTTATTTTGTTAGAAAATTGTGAAGAATTGTACGAAACGTTATGGGCTCATGGGAACCAATGCACCCAGATGATTGTTTACAACAAATCAACACGAAAATGGTGATAAAAATCGATGGATAATTGTGTTTCGGAAGTTTTGTGTTTGAAGATATAATTTTTATGAACATACGAAATAAAAAGTTTAAGTGGGTGGGAAGCAGGAAATATTTTGTTTAGGTTGTCAAAGAATATGAACCATAAACTACCCCCGAATTTAAGGGAGTTTCCAAAAAAAACGGGTATAAACCCATATTTTGTGTCCCAAAATGCACCTTAACTTTTATTTATTTTAAATAATTTCATGTGTCCCATCTCCATTTTTGTTGCAAAGTAAACCAAATATTGCCAGCTTTTGTTACTATTGTATAAGGTGATGTTTGGATGTCTATTAATATTTGATAGCGATAATCACTCAATAAATTATAATAAAATTGTGTTATAAAAGACTTGATTTTGTTGTGTGGAGTTAAAATAGATAAAATGATAAAGGGATTTTCTAATATGTGCCATAAGGATACATATAAGAAGTATTAATTAATCACAATTATTATCATAATTAAATGTTAAATACATTAATTATAAGAAATATTACCATAATTAAATATAAAACTCATTAATAATCTCTATAATTAATGCATTTCACATTTAATTATGATAATAATTGTGATTAATTAATACTTCTTATATGTGCTTTTAAGCACATATTAGAAAATTCCAATGATAAAATAATAATATTCTTAGGCAGTAGGGTCTAGGTATCCAGCCACCACACTGCCACATCACAGTTAAGTCGTCAACGCCTAGAGGGGTATGATGTTTGTCCATAAACCACACCGTCATAAGGCAAATAAAGAAGAAAAACAGTGTTGGCTTGCATCGAGCCCTCCATGCGATGCCACAAGTCGTTAGGCCGGAGCGATGTTCCATAAGCCTAACGCCACCAAGTCCACCTCAACCTCTCAACTGCATTGAGATTCCCATATCGACCATTCTTATATATTATTAAATGAGAATCTTTAATAAAGTCTTAATATTTTAGCCAAGTTTATGAAAAAATCTCAAATTTAATTCTTAGGATAATGACTTAAAAATTTAACCGATTTTTCGATTTGTACACATTTAGTCACGAAGTTTTTTGTCCATATTTTCTCATCGAACTTGTTTGAAGTGTTCAAAAAACATCATTATGACTGTCTATAGTAGGTTTAGTAGATTTTCAACATATTTGATAGCTCACTTGAGACTCTGGTCATCTTCTCCGACGTTTATGATTTTTCGATGAAAAATGATATTTTCAAGAGAAGATTTTTATGGGTAGGTTGTTGTTGAAGTTCATGTGTGTGTATGTGTGTTAGAGTTTTTCTGGAGCTAAGGTACGAGATAAGTGGTACTCCAAGGGTTGAGTGGCGCATCTCAACGTGGAGGCTCGGGTGTGGCAAGCGAGGGCGAGGGCACAGGAGGCGGAGGCGGCGACATTATAGTCAAAACTGCAACAGGGGAAGGTAAGGAGGTCGGGAAACAATTCATGTGTATGAACTCGAAATCTTGGTTTGTTTATGTGTGTTCATGTGTTCTTCAAAAGTGAGTTCTTCATAAAAAATCATGTTGACCAAAGAAGATGACTGAAATCTCATCGGAAAAAGCATTGGTGGCTGGAGACTCGCTAGAAAAGATGACCGGAGTCTCACCTGAGTTGTCAAATATGCCGGAAACCTACTATAGCAGGTCATAAAGATGTTTTTAAACAATTCAAACAAGTTCAATAAGAAAATATAGAAAAAAAAATCTCAGTGACTAAATATGTACAAATTAAAAAATAAGTTACCTTTTTAAGATATTATCCCTTAAATTTATTTACATAAAAACATAGAATATAGGCTAATTTATTCAGCTCCAAACCTTTTTAACATTTTCTTCTGGTAACTTGTTGAGTTGGCCTAATTAAATAATGAGAAATTAAGTAATTTAACAACTTTTTAATGTGTATTTGAAGAAAACAATCAATTTTTTTAGTAAAAATAACCACTTGGCTCCGAATGGAGATTCCAGACAAGAAAAAACACTTGTTTTTACTGATTCCGAAACGGA